CAGCTGGATCAAGGGCTAGGATTCTGACGGAGCCGTAACTCCATTATGATCAAAGGATTACATCACTGATAATATGACCAGCTGCATCATCCCGATGTATCTTTAGTTAAAATGACCCTTATGGAACAAACTACCGTATTTGAACCTTATATAAAACGCACGGCTGTATAAGACGCACCCCAATTTCAGCAGAGCAAATCAAGAAAAAATTACTAATTAGTAAAATTAGTAAACCTACATATGGCATATAAGACACCGGGGAATTTTAAAAGATAATTTTAGTAAAAAATAATGTGCGACTTATACGCAGTTAAATACGGAATATATAATGAAATACTTAAATTTGTGATTCAGTTGTCAATGTTTCGTTTAATAAGGATATCGAAGAAAAAATAATATCGTTACCAAGGCAAATTTGTATCTGATAAACGCTGTGGTCAAATTCGACATTTTTTAAAATGCCAATGCACTCCACTATTTACATTATTAGGACTATTGTCCTCATCTTTGTCGCCATTTTTATTACAACTGGGAACCAGTAATAAGGAGTGCCAGAGAAAAGCGATAATAACAACAAAAATTGCAATATGAGCTCTGGTAAAAATATGCGATAGCAGCAAAAATTGCAATATGGGCACTGGTAAAAAATGGTTGCTGAAGACATTAAGTTTATAATACCCAGAAATTCATACACAGATGTCCTCAAGGACACATGGCACAGTGGATAAAGGCGTTGGTTAGATTCGGTGACAGGACTCAAAGAGTGTAACCGGTTAAGGCTGTGGAGAAATAGGAGAGGGGAATTAACAGGAGATAACTGATAACTGACTTCCATCAAAACTTGGCACGTGGAACTAGCACAGTCTACCCCAGTGAGCGAAATAAAGGGTTCAGTTCGACATTTCAACCACCTGAAGAAGGCCGGTGCGTACAACGGCCGAAATGTTGTAATAAAAATGGCGACAAAGATGAGGACAATAGTCCGAATAATGTAAATAGTGACGAAATCTAAAAATTTTCTATGTAATTTTAAGCTTTCAACTACAAATATAAGTACATAATTTTATACATTCGGGATAAGCATATATCTTTTAGATTTATAGTTTATACATGATAAAATGTATTTTAAGATTGTAGAAATATAGACAGATACTGAAGGGCTGAAACCTTGTAATAAATATGACGACAAAGATGAGGACAATAGTCCGAATAATGTAAATAGTGTACATAATACTTCATCTCAGAAATATAGACAGATACTGAAGGACCGAAACGTTGTAACAAATATGGCAACAAAGATGAGGATAATAGTCCGAATAATGTAAATAGTGTACATAATACCTCATCTCAGAAATATAGACAGATGCCGAATGGACTAGCATTTACTTTATTTACAAATATTTATTATTGATTTTATTATTTCTTAATTTTTCAAATACATTTCCAATTAGCAACAGCATTTGTCATTAGCAAGTTTGCCATTTTAATACTTTTTTTATTAGTTTCTGTTGTTCTGATGTTGTTATTACTGAACGAAACATTAACAACAGAATACAAAATATCCAATTGCTTTCCCTATATTCCACCTGAAATATAGCATTATGTTAACAATATTTTCTATCTGGATTTCTTGAATGAAGAGTTCTCGTTATTTATACTATATACATTTCTGACTATTAACCTTTATCTCTGTTGTTGCATTTACAATGTTTCGGCCGTTGTACCCATTGGCATTCATCAGGATCATACCGGTCTATGCCCAGGTAATGGCCAACACCGCAATCCGAGTTTCCGACAAGAGATTCCGAACTGAACTCTTTATTTGATGTAAGACCTTTGTTTAATCTAAGAGCTTTATTTGATCTAAGAGCTTTATTTCATCTAAGAGCTTTATTTCATCTAAAAGCATAGCTGTTTCTCGCTCTTCTTCACATATCTAGGGTTATGTGGGCACTTCTACGTGGCGTAATGTTTAGCGAGCCTTTGTGACGTCGTCCCCCGGTCGCAGCGTCGACTGTGTCGTTCGATCCCGGTCGCGGCGCCAATTGTGACGTCACGTGCTCCCCAGGCTCTGATATCCTGGTCACGGACAGCACCAACTGTGACGTCTTCGCCGCGGCGTCAGCTGTTCGCTCCTCGCTGCTCCAAACGTGACGTTCTAACCCTTTGGTTAGATTGATACCAGCCTCGCCGTTCCCAACCCGCTTCCAACGCCTGGTTACCAGGGTAACTGCACTGATCTCCAGTCTGCCTACCCACGTTGTGAATTGATCTTAGACAGACGAGATCAAACAGGGTTGGGGCCGTAATCAAGTTGAGTCCAACGGGGTGATAACACACAATTATGTATAAAAGAAAATAAAATAAAAACTCACAAGGTCCAACGTATCAAAGAAAAAGGTAACAAACTTTTTATGTCTATTTGCTCGGTACATAGGGACTATGTCTACTTCCCCGACCCGTTCTGTGGATTGTAGCACAACGCTTTTACTAGGCAACTTTAAGGCTTCAAGTTGTCTGCTCTCTCTAGAAATTTGTGTTTCGGTGTGTCTTTGGACGAAAGTCGAAAAAAAAACTTATTTCTGTGGTCTTGATTCTAAGTCGCTCTTCAAACTACTTGTTCTTGGTTGAAGAAGAGTCCAGAAGTGTGCGTGAATCTTGGTCAGCTATCTTGACGCGGTTTCAACACTGGGCGCTCATCTCTGCTTGTCTTCCAGGGTTCAAAATTTCTCGCCAGGGTCCGCGGCTCAATCTGACTTCTTCTCTCCGGCTTGGGTCGAACAAACTGAACTGAACTCTTTCTCTCCAGAGTCTGAATTACTGGTCACTCATCTCCGCCGTCGGTGCGCGAACTAACTTCTTCTCTTCGGTTTGGGTCGGACGAACTTCTTCACTTAGGCCAAACGAACTGGCCTCTCTTGCCCGCAAAGTGGGTGACCGAACTCGGGCCGCCGTCCGCGGTTCCACTCCGCTTGCCGTCCGCGGCTGAACTCTGATTTCTGTCGGTTGGGGTCTCGCTTTTATTGACGCAGTCAAAACTGGGGTGGGTCTGTCGGAGCCAGGGGTTCTTCGATAATTCTAAATACGTATCCACCCTTCTTATTTCTGGTTAGGGATTTTTCATTCTTTTCCATTTTCGGTAACCTACTCTCACTCCCACTCCCTTACTGTGCCTCTGAGGGGCATGTACCCGCTTCCCCGCTTCTTCGTATCGGCTCCTTACACTTACACTCCTGACAGGGGCGTCAACCGATTCTCCTCGTGCGTCACGTGACCGCTCTCGGCCAATGAGGTCCTGGTTGGGTATCTTTCCTCCTCCTTCGTGTGTCATGTGATCTTATTTAGCCAATGACGTCCTAGTCGGGCGTGGACAATCCGTGGCTTTGTTTTGGGAAAGAAATACCTTGCTTAAAAAACAAAAATATTAATTTAAATCGCCCTTATCATGAGCGACTGAGGTGACACTCTCGGCTTTTTAACACGTGGTATTTGTCAAGCAGTTTATCGCTAATTGGATATGATCTAAGAAAGGAATTTCTCAGACTCGTTGGCGTTTCTGAAACGGAATAAAAATATTTCATTTTCCCTCCGCTCGAAGGTCTGATAATAAAAATCTTTATTATCTCAAAAAAAATTTTGCCAGAGACCACCTTGTGTGGCTTTTTCTAATTCTGAAGACTGTCTGTGTTTTCGTATTAATGGTTTGTCTTCATATCCTTAGATACACTTCCCCACCCACTTAAACCTTTACTATCATTCCAATGACACACTTTCCCACTTTGTTACTTATCAATATTTTCATTGTCCCTAAACTTCGTTTCTTCTTTTCCTCTGGGTGACAACCAACTGATAACACACTTCAATTTTTGGCGGATCCTCGGAAATCGGTCAGATGCTTGACCTGAATACTTTTCGACACCTGTTATCTGTCAGCCGTGCGTGTGTGTGCTCGCCTATTACCTGTTTTCGTATTATTTTTTCTTTCTTTCACTTTCGTTTTCTCTTTCCTTCTCCCAGATCGCTTGAATGTAAAGAAAGAATTATTCTTAAAACCCCAAATATTTTTTGGCCTTAAATAATTATTAAATGGTTGATAAACCGTAAAAAACAAATCATATATCTATGAATATTTCTCTCAGCTCGTCAGGTATGCATGGTGCCACACCTTTCTAGCTAGTTCATTTGCATTTAAGTAGAGCGTTCGATCCTCACTGATCGCCCCATACTTTCGGCTTTGTGCCACATCTAAGCTACGCTTAGAAAATCGCAATATTTGTCTAGTTGATTAAAGCGTTGGTTCTAGTTGATTAAAGCGTTGGTTCTTGAATTTGTCTCTTATTTTGTAAACCTCTACTTCCAGAGGCTTTGGGGTCTTGTACAGGTTGCACATGCTTGTAAGGAAGAAACAAATATTAAAGTGACAAGTTCGACATGACACTTGTCTTTGACAGTAGGCACAATTCGAAAATATTGAAACTAAGAGAAATACAAGGGAAACCTCAAGGAACATACGAGCTTGGAAAAATGAATGGAAGAAAACTTGGGGTTATAGAACGGGGACAAACATTGCTTAGAGCTACAAAGGATAGGAAGTGGTGGCGAGCTATGAGCAACCTATTTAACGAGCATGTGAAAATGTATGGTAGAACAAGGGAGGCATATTAAAGAGACAAACAATGTTTAGAGCTACAAAGGATAGGAAGTGGTGAAAAGCCATTACGAACCTATTTACGACTTTGTGTAAATGGATGTCAGAATAGCAGCTGGGAGGCATAGTAAAGAGACCTACTTAATGAGCTTGTGCAAATGTATGGCAAAACAACAAGACAGCAACTGGGAGACGCATAAGGAGACAAACATCGTTTAGAGCTAAAAAGAATAGGAAGTGGTGGACAGCCATGACCAACGTACTTAACGGACTTGTGTAAATGCATGGTAGAAGAGCAACTGGGAGATAAACAATCCTTAGAGATAGAGAGGATACGAAAGGGTAGAGAGCCATGACCAACCTATTTTTCCATCATTCCACTTTTCGGTTAAAAGTCATTCATCTTCTCTTTCTTGCCCTTCATTTTCCGACTATCAGTCATTTATTTCCTACTCCTCCTTGCCCTTCATTTCATTGTTCAGTAAGCAGCTATTCATTTCCTTCTCGACCTTGTCCTTCATTTCATTTTCGAATAGCAGTCATAAATTTCCTTCTCTTTAAGAGTCATCATTTCATTTTTCGGATAAGAGATATACATTTCCTTCTCGTCTTTGCTCTTCATTTCAATTTTTGTATAGCAGATTTTCATTTCTTTCTTTCCCTTTCCCTTCATTTCATTTCTCGGATATCAGTCTTTCATCACCTTCTCCTGCTTACTATTCATTTCATTTTTTTCTTATAGCAGACATTAATTTCTTTTTCCTCCTTGTCCTTTGATTTCATTTCTTCCGTTAGCAGTCAATCATTTCCTTCTCTTCCTTACACTTCATTTAATTTTTCAGTTAGCAGCCATTAATTTCCTTCTTTCCCTTAACCCACATTTTATTTTTCGCATAGCAGTCTTTCATTTTCTTCAATTCATTGCCATTCATTTCATTTTTCATATAGCAGTCATTCATTTATTTCTCTTCTTTACAACCATTTATCTCGTTCATTTCATTTCATTTTCGAATAGCAGTCAATCATTTACTTCTTGTCCTTGCCATTCATTTCTTTTTTCGGATAGAATTCATTCATCTCCTTCTCTTTGCCCTTCATTTTTCGGTTAGTAGTCGTTGATATCATTCTCCTGCATCCGTTTCCTTTTCAGGATAGAAACCATTCATTTCCCTCGCGTATTTGCCCTTCATTTTATTTTTCGCATAGCAATCATTCATTTCAGTCACATCTTTGCCATTCATTTTATTTCTCATATATCGTAACTCAACTTCTTATTCACATCTCCTCCGCATACTAAATCTACATTCCTTTCTTCTTATACTTGTCATTTATTCCTTCTTCTCATGTCCATTATTCACTTCCTTCTCCAGAGAGAAGACATTCATTTTATTGTTCTCATAATCACTATTCATTTACATATTCCTCCACCCCTACCTTTTTTTCTGACTTCGAATTTATTTTTAGTTATTGTCATTGCAATTTTCTTCTAATCTTTCCAATTTGAATTATTTTTGCTTCTTCTTCGTCATCATTATCATCATCATCATCATTATTTTTTTATTTCCTTTGATTTCTGGCGTGTACACATTTCTTTCCGGGTCCCGCTCTGAGAGGTAAATTTAGAAATTTCATCATGACACTTTCCACTGACAAAAAGAAAATTTGCATAGATAAAGCCCTTCGTAAAGTGTGAGCTGTACTTGTGAGAACAATGTTTGTATTTCTTTCACGCATGGACTTCCAGGAATCCCTTCAATTAGTCTACTTGAATCTTTTCGAACCATTCCTAGGGCTCCAACTACGACAGTGATTGTTCCTCTTCCCATGTGCCACATTTTTGAGATTTCGATTTCAAGGTCCTTGTATTTTAACAGCTTTTTGTATATCTCCAAAGATACATTGCAGACTGCAGGGACTGACATATCAATAACGAAGCACTTGTTTGTGGTCTTTATTATATCCTTGGAATTCTACTGTGTACATATTTCCTTCCGGATCCCAACCAGAGACCTAAGGTCAGAAATGTCTTCATGACATTTTCCACTGATCATTTTTGTATAATAAAAACAAAAAAAAACCTAATATCACACACGTTTTGCATAGATAAAGCTATTCATAATGTGTGAGTTGTAATTATGAATATAATTTGCTTTTATTTCTTTAAGGCATCGGCTACCAGAAATGGCTTCAGTTAGCCTATTGGAAACTTTTTCAATCAATACGAGGGCTCCAACTACAATGGTAATCATTGATGTTCTCATGTGCTATATTTTTGAGATGTCTACTTCAAGATACTTGTATTTTAATAGATTTTTGAAGATCTTCAGCGATACAATCTGAAAGGACTGCTATGTCAATAAAAAAGCACATTCTATTTTTGTGGTTTTTGATTATGATATCTGGGCCATTATCTTTGATTGTTTTGTCTGTGTATATTGCCAAGTCCCATAAACTAGTTAGAGAATCTATCTTTGTAACTGGATGATGTCTTTACCAGTTTCTCGCAGTTTCCTTACCGTAGAAGTTGCATATTTTCCAGTATAGATATTGGCTCACTCTATCATGCGGAGTTTTATATTCAATGGGCACCTAACACTGTGTGTAGTATTTTCTAGTTTGCAAGCATTGGTCCTGTGCAGCAAAGATAGAACCTTGGTTTCAGCTTTTAACCATGCACTGCATAACTAATGATGGGTACGAGTCTTGTTTACATCAGTTTGTTTTGTACGGGCAGAGTGTTGATTATGAAGAGGCTTCTCGAGTCATCATTTCTTTTTCGAATTTGTTGGCATCTTTTATTAATGAAGTTTAATCTCCTTTAAGTATGTCACGCGTTGCTTTCCCTTGTCCGTCATTCCCTCTATCCATCCTGTGAGAATCAGATTTTCCAGGCCCTCTTTTCTCATTTAGTTTTTCATTTTCATTTTCTTTGACACAGATCATCATCCAGTCTTCTGTAGTTTCCAGTTATCTTTGAAGTCCGATTGTTGTGGTTTTCTTGTTGAACTAATCCTCTACCTCCTTCGGATCTGGACACATAGAGACGATCAACATCATCAGCCTTGCCATAAGATGATTCATGCGGTGAGAAATATATAATTATATAAAGTATAATATTATCATCAAACATATGAAAACATTCTTTTTTATTAAAAATATTTGAAAGGTAAATAATAGAAGAAATAGACTATTTTGAAACAATAATAAAAGTAGTAAATAAAACAAAATAAAGTTTACGACTTGAAAAACTTTTCCTACAAATTTGAAAATACGCCCTCGTCCGTAAAAAAATTTTACGTTACAATCGATAAGAAAAGGATAAATGAATAAAATTATATGTTGTTAAAAATGTTTGAATAATAAATGACAGAGAAAGAAATCGGCGATATTGAATCAATATTCAGAGATAAACAAAACAAACAATTATCATTATTATTACTTTTTGTTATTCATCTACAAAAGAGTAGAAGTCTTTATTCAAACTTTGCTTGTCTTTTAATGAAATAAAAAACAGCTTGGTAATAAACGCGCCAAAACGAACGAAATACCGACCACGTGAATGCATGAAACTGACACGTGCGTAATATGACGGTGATCTTGTTGATCTTGAAATTTTCCGTTTGTTGATTAAAGAGGAATTAATCAAACAGCTGAGTATAAAACTTATAGAATTCTACAGTCATTCTGCCCATTCCCCCGGGGTCCACAGTTAGTAAGTTGCATACCTAACTATTCTCATCCTTTTTAAGGGTCCAAAGATCGGTAGATTCTGAATATTTTTACAGAATATCTTCCATAATATTCTTGTCGAAATTGCAGTCGTGTGTGATAAAAGGTTCTACGAGCTCCGTTGACGTCACACATAACAATGTGACATCAATAATATTTTACAGATTTATATATTTCTATACTTGATTTTTTTTTTTTAAATATAACTTTAAAACGGAGAGATATTCTGTTCAAATATTGTTTGACATTGTATTAATATTTCGCTGGTTCCCAAATTTCATGAATTTAAGTGTTCAACTCGGCTGGCATCTCGCTCACACCCATTCACTGTCGAAACTGTTAAATGTAATCGTCTCTTCTACTCCAATAACTTCATGTCTCGCACCTCTCGCCTGTGGAACTCATTCCCCTCTTCCTGTTTTCCAGATAGCTATAATCTCCAACTATTCATATATAATCTCAATCGACGTCTCCAGATGCCCTGATCTATCCCCTATCCTTCTCTTCATCCTTTCCTCTATCACTCCTATTTGCTCTCGCTCCAACTCTCTGTAACCCCTTGCATGCTAGTGGCTTCCCGCCTTGCCTGGGGTGAAACGCTTAAAAAAATTGTGTTTTTCTTTTATTTTTTCTTTTCTTAAATAGCGTTCTTCTCTTAACTGTGGAAAATATTGGAAGTGTTACGTGAATCATTTTGTTTTTTACTGTTATTATTATTATTATTATTATTATTATCTAAAATTAATGACATTTCATAATTCTTCGCTTGCGACTTATTTTATCTATTTCGGGAATATTTGTCAACATTTTTAATTCGGTCTTTCTTGCTCTATTACAAATGACGACATTCAAAATTAAGCAAATATTTTTTAAACTCTTTTCATTTTTATTTCTTCTTTATGTTTTCATTTTATGAGCTTTTTTACATGCATTTATTTTTCCGCCCCATTATAACGTTTTTCCATCTCGTTAAAATACTCTCATTTTTTAATTTTTTAAATCATTTCTTTCGTTTTATGTGCCATAGAAAGTTGATTTGGAATTTCACACCAAACAGATCCAAGCAAATATGGCGCCTGTTTTCTGCCTATTAATTAACAGCACTTTTTCCTCATTCATTCTTCTCTACCCACAATCCGCTCCAACAAACAAAAATGTTTGTTTCTTCTTCTAAACAAAAATAGCACGTATCACTTACAAGATTTACTCATAATTTCATTAATATCATTTTTGATGTTTGAAATATATACTCCGTACTTTTTATAAGTTCACAAATTACGTTGCTCGCATTGAAAAATAAAACAAATGTAAGTAAGGCTATTTTAATGCAACTTTAAGAAATCCGATCTTTCAAAAGTTTTTCATTATTAGGCCACGTGCAATTGAATCAGTTTTCTTTAAGTTTCCCTTGAAATTGTCTCAAGCATTTTGGTGCAAAGGCACAAGGACGTTGATTTGGAAGAGAAAACTTACTGCAACCTACTAAATAAAACTCCACACACCTTGTTTCTTTCTCTATTCCCATTTCTTCTCTCTCTCTCTCTCTCTCTCTCTCTCTCTCTCTCTCTCTCTCTCTATTTATTTTTCTCTCTTCCTTTCTTACTCATTCACTCTCTTATACGGACACACAGAATGATTCAGAATGTTGAATTTACATCCAGAAAGTAAATATACACGCATCCGGGTGCAAAAATATGCTGACTAGCTGAAACATATGGTTTTGAATTACACACAGGTAATGGTTGGTAGTACCACCGTATCCTGACCACCGGGAAATGTTCATACTTCTACATAAAATCTGTATCATCTACCCAGTGTTTAAAGGTACTTACATGCCGGGTAGGGTTTATCATCTCTCAGTTGCGTCGCTCTCTTCGGGCAGAGTGGGACTCAGTTATGGCTCTGTCCGTGGACAGAGAGGCAGCCGAGGAAAATAAATACGGTGAGGTGCACAAAACCTGGAGAACTACTGCACCATCCACTGCGCTAGAATGGGCGATCGGTAGTCATATCTATGCCAGTGGGACCAACGGTTTCGGGGCCTGGGTAATTTATGTCCTTGACCCAGGTGTATGCGTTCGTGTTCCCCACATTAAACCTGACAATGTGACACATTTTATCTCAGTGGCGAGACTGGGATAAATGACCAAGTGTTTCAAGAAATAGGACTCAAGATAAACCTTTTCAAAGCTGAAATTATGATCAAGAATTGGATTGAAAGAAGTGGTGATACATAAAGTGAATCCATTATAAAAATGTGGAATTAGTAAATACAAAACACTTCAAAAACTTCGGTGTATGGTTTAGGTATAACATATTTAGTACGAGAAATAAAGAATATGATGCGCCAGGGGTAATTTCGCTCAATGTCACAAATTGCAACGACACCAAAACGTTAACCAGAAAACTCGGCTCATTTTCTTTTTCAGAAGTCTCGTCAGATCAAGACATTGATATGGATGTCATGGCACCAATCTAGTTTAGAAATATCTCAACTGTCAGCAGCATATAACTGGGTTTTTTTTCGGATCAATGGCTAAAATATAGACTTTCTGTGTTAACGAAGACAACACTTCCTCGAACTTTGTTAACTGGCGCTACAGAATCACTGTACCAAATAATAGAAAAGAAATCGTTGAAGACTTTCAACAGCAAAACTAAATTTATTTCTTGAAGTATCAAATGCTTTTTTTCTATTTTAAATGCTAAACTGAAGTCCTCAACCCGAGATGTAAATGAATTTTCGTGCAAATGTCAATTTAAATTTTCAATCAACGACAAGTGCAGATATAAAATAATGAAATATTTACAATCCTGTGATCCAGAAATAAATCAAATAGTAGACAGATCCAGATGAAACCACGTCAAAAACTACGTTCGGCAAATTATCAAAATCCACACCAGATGTAAATGTTTTTTTTCTCCAGATTTAAATTATCAAATGACAATTTTAATTTTTAATATTCGCTCAGGCTTGATGTAATCAATATAATGTTTTCAGATCCAGATTTAAAATACCACTTTCTATTCAAGACAGCCCTCGCTGTAATACATTAATATTATTTCTTTCTAATTCGCCAGATAAAAATTATCTAATAATGCTTCTCTATTTTAGATAGTCGACTGCTGCTGAGGTAAAGTGCTATAATTATTACTTTCCACTTCCCTAGATGAAAATATTAGGTTGTCCCAAAAGTTCGTAAACACTTGCGAAAAATTGAATTGATGGAGACTTGCAAACCGGGTTGGACATTGCGCCTTCATCGAGCACTCGAGAATTGGCTGATGAGCTTGAAGTTGGCAAATCGACAATTCACCGATACTTGAAGCAACTTGATTTTGTTCACAAAAAGACGCGCCAAGATCCGCACAAACTCACCGAAGCACAAGCCAACAGACGAGTTGAAATTTGCCGTCAATTGCTCAGCAATCCATTGGAGGAGCGTTTTTGGAAGCGCATTGTGACATCGGACGAGAAATGGGTCTATCTGGTCCAGCACAATCGAGACAAGCGATGGGTTCAGAAAGGGCAAGAGACACTGTCGGTTCCAAAACACAGATCGATTCGGCAAGAAAGCCATGTTGTGCGTTTGGTGGAACTTTGAAGGAATCGTGCATTTTGAGTTGGTTCCGAATAGTCGTGCCATCAGTGCCGAACTTTACTGTCAGCAACTGGAGCAGGTCTACGAAAAGTTGAAGCAAAAGTAACCCGCTGTGATCAACCGATAGCGCGCTTTGATGCAGCAGGACAATGCCAAGCCACACATCGCCAGGAAGACCAAAGACAAGTTTGAAGAGCTGGACGGCGTTGAGGTTCTGCCACATCCAGCCTACAGTCCTGACTGTGCTCCATCAGATTACGGCCTTTTCCGCTCAATGCAACACTTTCTGAAGGGCCGCCGATTCGACTCGTTTGATGAAGTCGAGGAAGCGTGTCAAGAATTCTTTGATTCGAAGCCGGATGAATGGTACTTTCACCAGATCCGAAAGATTTCAGATCGATGGCAGAAAGTCTTGGAAAATGATGGTCTTTATTTTGAGGAATAATTTTTGTTGTTTTTGTTATTACTTGGCGAGTAAAATTTCAATTTTTTGCAAGTGTTTACGAACTTTTGGGACAACCTAATATCAATTTTCTCTCCATCTGGTAGACAGTTCCAGGTGAAAAGTATATATTTTCCTCCTAGAGAGGTAAATTTTCAAGTTACTTTCGTTGAATTGTTAAAAATCACACCAGATGTAATTCTTCTTCTCCAGATATGTCAAATGTCAATGTGAATTTTCAATCAACAAAACAAACCTGATATAAAAATATAATATTTACTATCCTATGATTTAGATATAAAATATAAAGAAACTATATCCATATAAGATAAAAGATTGCTCCAAATGGAAATATATCTCTCTCCATGTCTTAACATGAAAATATCAAATGTCTCCTTCTACTCTAAATAGTCAACAACTCCAGATGCAAAGCAGGTTTATTTTCCTACAAAATTAAATTGTCAAATGTCACATTCCATTTGAATATTCTAACACTCCACATGTATATATAATTATTTTTTCCAGATACAAAGTATTAAATGTCAATTTAAATTTTCAATATACTACCAGGCTAGATGTATGGAATGTATTTTCTGATCCTGATGTAGAGGATAAAATATTCTCTTTCTTTTTAATTTATAATTCATTTTAATTTTTATTTATGTTCTATACAAGAGAGACCCAGATATAAAGGCTTAAAATTACTTTCTCTTTTCTCCAGGTGCAAATATCAAATGTCTATTCTATTTTTAATATTCTACAGCTCCAAATGAAAAAATACATTTTTCTACTAGAGATAAATCGTCAAAAGCCACGTTCAGTATTCGATCATTCCAAATGTAAAGTATCAAATGTAAGTTTATATGACTGTTATTCGACTAGGTCAGATATAAATAATATATTTTCTAATCCAAATGTAAAGTCTAAAGAGACTCTAACCATTTAAAGTGAAGACAGCCCCGAGGATTAATAATAATCTTTTAAGATGAAAATATCAAATGTTATCATTCGACCGTAGTCGGGATCATAGAACCAATGCGAACGATCCTTTCTTTAACTGTATGGTATGTGCTACGCCATAGCTACTTGCAGTTTTGAATTTAGAGTTACTTTCTCCGAGACCAAAGGCTATAGAACCCAGTTTGTTAATGGTCGCCCTTTGTCGGGATCATCGAGCCAAGGCGAACGATCCTTTCCTTAGCTGTATGTTATATGCTACGCCATAGCTACTTGCAGTTTTGAATTCAGAGTTACTTTCTCCGAGACCAAAGGCTATAGAACCCAGTTTGTTAATGGGTCGCCCTTTGTCGGGATCATCGAGCCAAGGCGAACGATCCTTTCCTTAGCTGTATGTTATATGCTACGCCATAGCTACTTGCAGTTTTGAATTCAGAGTTACTTTCTCCGAGACCAAAGGCTATAGAACCCAGTTTGTTAATGGGTCGCTCTTTGTCGGGATCATCGAGCCAATGCGGACGATCCTTTCTTTAGCTGTATGGTATATGCTACGCCATTGCTACTTGCAGTTTTGAATTCAGAGTTACTTTCTCCGAGACCAAAGGCTATAGAACCCAGTTTGTTAATGGGTCGCTCTTTGTCGGGATCATCGAGCCAATGCGAACGATCCTTTCCTTAGCTGTATGGTATATGCTACGCCATAGCTACTTGCAGTTTTGAATTCAGAGTTACTTTCTCCGAGACCAAAGGCTATAGAACCCAGTTTGTTAATGGGTCGCTCTTTGTCGGGATCATCGAGCCAATGCGAACGATCCTTTCTTTAGCTGTATGGTATATGCTACGCCATTGCTACTTGCAGTTTGAATTCAGAGTTACTTTCCGAGACCAAAGGGCTATAGAACCCAGTTTGTTAATGGTCGCTCTTTTGTCGGGATCATCGAGCCAATGCGAACGATCCTTTCTTTAGCTGTATGGTATATGCTACGCCATTGCTACTTGCAGTTTTGAATTCAGAGTTACTTTCTCCGAGACCAAAGGCTATAGAACCCAGTTTGTTAATGGGTCGCCCTTTGTCGGGATCATCGAGCCAAGGCGAACGATCCTTTCCTTAGCTGTATGGTATATGCTACGCCATAGCTACTTGCAGTTTTGAATTCAGAGTTACTTTCTCCGAGACCAAAGGCTATAGAACCCAGTTTGTTAATGGGTCGCCCTTTGTCGGGATCATCGACCCAAGGCGAACGATCCTTTCTTTAGCTGTATGGTATATGCTACGCCATAGCTACTTGCAGTTTTGAATTCAGAGTTACTTTCTCCGAGCAAAGGCTATAGAACACAGTTTGTTAATGGGTCGCCTTTGTCGGGATCATCGAGCCAAGGCGAACGATCCTTTCCTTAGCTGTATGGTATATGCTACGCCATTGCTACTTGCAGTTTTGAATTCAGAGTTACTTTCTCCGAGACCAAGGCTATAGAACCCAGTTTGTTAATGGTCGCCCTTTGTCGGGATCATCGAGCCAAGGCGAACGATCCTTTCTTTAGCTGTATGGTATATGCTACGCCATTGCTACTTGCAGTTTTGAATTCAGAGTTACTTTCCGAGACCAAAGGCTATAGAACCCAGTTTGTTAATGGGTCGCTCTTTGTCGGATCATCGAGCCAATGCG